TCTTGCAAATTACCAACGTCAGAACAAATTAAAGAAACAAGAATTTTTAAAAACGAAGAAAGCCTTCAAAAAGTATGAGATTAAATAAAACATAAAAACCTATGAGTGCTAGCTATTCCTGATGGAGAAGAAAAAATTAAAAGTTTGGAAAACCTATTTGAGGAAATAACTGAGAGAAAACTTTCCTAGTCTTCCTACAGATTTAGACAATAAGTTACAAAAGGTTAAGAGAACTCCAGGTAGACGCATTGCAAGATAAGACTTCACCAAAATAATCATCAAACTATCTAAAGTCAGTGTGAAGGGAAAAATCCTAAAAAAGTATCTAATCACCTATAAAGAGAATTGCATCAGATTTACAGTAGACTTCTTAGCAGAAACTTTGCAAGCCAGAAGAGACTGGGGTACAATTTTCAGACTTCTTAAAGAAACAAACAGTTAACCACAAATTTTATATCTCTGTTTGCTGATGATATCATTTTATGCCTGGAAAATCCTAAGACTCCTCCAAAACACTCCTAAATTTGATAAATTAATTCAGTAGAGTTTCTGGACACAAAAATCAATCTATAAAAATCAGTAGTGTTTCTTTTGTTTAGTTGGGTTTTGTTTGTCTGTTTTTGAAACAGGGTCTCACTCTGTTACCCAGGCCGGAGCGCAGTGGCATGGTCATGGCTCACTATATCCTCAACCTCCTGGGCTCAAGTGATCCTCCCACCTCAGCATCCCGAGTTGCTGGGACTACAGTGCTACCACACCCAACTAATTTTTGCATTTTTTGTTCAGAGGAGGAATCAGTAGCATTTCTATACAATAATAATAATCAAGCTAAGAGCCAAACCAAGAAGTCAATCCCACTTACAACAGCTACCAAAAAAACAAACAAACAAAAAAAAAAAAAACCTAGGAATATACTCAACCAAGGATGTGAAAGATCTCCATAAAAAAAAACTACAAAATACTGATGAAAGAAACACAGAAGACAAACAAATGGAAAAACATCCCATGATCATGGATTAAAGAATCAGTATTATTAAAATGACCATACTATCCCCAAAAGATACCTGCAGATTCAATGCAATTCCTATAAAAATACTAACATCGTTTTTCATGAAATTAGAAAAAAAATCCTAAAATACATATGGAATCAAAAAAGAGCCTGAATGGCCAAAGCAATGGTAAGCAAAAAGAACTCTTGAGACATCATATTACTTGACTTCAAATTGTACTACAAGGCAAATCGTACTACAAGACAAATGGGACTTAATTATAATAAAAAGCTTCTACACAGCAAACAAATAATCAACAGAGAAAACAGACAATCTACAGAACAGGGGAAAATAATTGCAAACTATGCATCTTACAAAAGACTAATTTGCAGACTCTACAAGGAACTCTACTCTTAAAAAGAAAAAAATAACCCTATTAAAAAACGGGCAAAGGACACGAACATACATTTTGCAAAAGATGACATACAAATGGCCAAAAAACATTTAAAAAGTTCAACTTCACTAATCACCAGGGGAATGCAAATTAAAGCAATGAGATACCATTTCGCACCAGTCAGAATGGCTATTATTAAAGTGTCAAAAACCTTAATAACAGATGTTGGCAACAATAAAGATAAAAGGGAATGCTCATACACTGTTGTTGGGAGTGTAAAAATAGTACAGCTTTATGGAAAACAGTATAGAGACTTCTCAAAGAACTAACAAATACCATTTAATCCAGTGATCCCACTACTGAGGATCTATCCAAAGGGAAGGAAATAATTATATCAAAAAGACACATGCCCTCAAATATTTACTGGAGGACTACTCACAACAGCAAAGATATAAAATCAGTCTAAGTGCCCATCAATGGATGACTAGATAAAGTAATCCACACCATGTAATATTACTCAGCTATTAAAAAAAAGAATGAATTCACGTTTTTTGCAGCAACATGGATAGAAATGGAGGTAACTATCTTACCTGAAATAACTCAGAGCAAGTCAAATATCGATCACACAAGTGGGGGCTGAAAAATATGTACACAGGGGCATAGAGAGTAGAATAATAGACACTGGAGACTCAGAAAGGTGGGACGATGGGAGTGGGTAAGGGAGGAGAAACTACTCATGGGTGCTATGGACACTATTCAGGTGGTATTTACCACTATGCAATATACCTGTGTAACAACACTGCACTTGTACTAAATCTATAAATAACATCCATATAAGAAACTGGGTATCAGGTATATGAAAATACTCCATCCTAGCTTAACAATTTTTTTGTAAATCTAAAACTAGACTAAAATAAACTTTTTTTTGAGATGGAGTTTCACTCTTGTTGCCCGGGCTGGAATGCAATGGCACAGTCTTGGCTCACTGCAACCTCCACCTCCCAGGTTCAAATAATTCTCCTGCCTCAGCCTCCCCAGTATCTGGGATGGATTACAGGCATGCACCACCATGCCCAGCTAATTTTGTATTTTTAGTCGAGGCAGGTTTTTTCTCCATGTTGTCCAGGCTTGTCTCAAACTCCTGACCTCAGGTGACCCGCCCACCTTGGCCTCCCAAAATGTTGGGATTACAGGCATGAGACACCATGCCCGGCCTAAAATAAACTTTCATAAAAATGAAACCAGGCCAGGCGCAGTGGCTCACTTGCAGTCCCAGCAAACTCAGGAGTTTGAGATCAGTCTGGGCAATACCAAGACCCCGACTCTATAAAAGGAAAGAAAAACTTATCCAGGTGTGGTCTATACTCCCAGCTACTCAGGAGGTTTATGCAGGAGGATCATTTGACTCCCGGAGTTTGTGGCTGTGGTGTGCTCTGTTCACACCACTACATGCTAGCCTGGGTGAGAGAGCAAGATCTGTATTCAAAACTAAATAAAAAATAATAACAAAAATAAAAATAAAACTGAAGATATCAAGTGAGGGAAAAAAGCAAACTCAGAATAGTCATACATGATAGGAATGACAGAAAAGGGCATTAAAACTGTCATTATTGTGGTATTTCATAGAGTCAGAAAGTTGAATAGGGACATGGGAGATATAAAAAAGATCCAAACCGAATGTCCAGTGATAAAAACATGTCTGAGATTAAAAAAAAAAAAATACACTAGATGGAATTACTGGCAGATTAGAAACTGAAAATGCTAATAAACTTATAAACAAAGTAATTGGAATATCCAAAATAAAATGCAGAAAGAAAAAATAACCTTAAAAAATTAAAAGTGCAGCAGTGGACAACTTTAAGCCAGTCAATGTGTATAAAAGAGTCCCCAAAGAAAGAATGGGGGGACAGAAAAATTATCTGAAGAATAGCCAAAAAACTCCAAATTCTACAAAAACTGTAAACCCACTGATCAAGTGTTTTTTGAAAAATACTATATTCTGGGGTTTAAAATTTATTAAAAGACAATAACAAACAAGCCAGAAGGAAAGAAATGAAAGTATACTATTGTAAGGTTCTCATATTGTATTTGAAATAATACATCATCTTGACAGCAACATGACCCCATATCACTGAAACTGAATTCATATTCATTCATTCATTAACTGCACTGACTACTGTATAAAAGTCATTAACCCTCCATAGAAGATTACAGATACGGGCTTCAGCGAGGGTGTGTTAACAGATTAGACTAAGGTAACAAATGGATTTGAGTCTAGGTGAAATGCAAGGGTTTGCTCTTCTCCTGGGATTCAGAAGGAATAATATCTTCCAAGCACAGGAGGATCAGAAATCATAGTGAAAGATTTTGGGTTGAACCTGTGCCAGGAAAACTGCATAAATAAAAATGGGCTCCACTGGACAAAAATTTACCTTTCAAATCAATCCTGATGCCACATTTGAGATCCTAGAAACACAATCACCATTTTCATCCTGTGCCATTGCTGCTGAAGCTCTCATGGGGCCCTGCAAGTTCCTGGTTCAACTGCTCTTCCACTTCTGTCACCTAATCTGGGCTCCATGACACTCTGAACTGTCAGGCTGCCACTGGATATTCAAAGTATCCCCACACTAAGGTGAGACAGAATAGTTTCTCTTTCTTTCCAATACCAATCAAAATCCCAATTCTACAAATAATTGATAAATGCCATTTATTTAGACCTTAAAAATCCCATTAAATAAAATCAATAAGGCTTTATTAAATATCCACCTACAGTAAACCTGCAGTGAGAGTGTATATCAGAAGAATATTCCTTCCTGACCTACCTGTTGGACATTTTTCTTTCTCTATTCCAAATGAGTTTGTATAGCTTCCTCATATACACATGGCATTGGACTATATGTTTATGTTTCCCAAAAAACTTTTATGCTGGAACTCTAATCCTTAATGTAATGGTATTTGGAGGTAGGGCCTTGGGGAGACAATTAGGTCCTAGGGGTGGAACCCTCTCAATGGGATCAGTTCTCCTATATGAACAGCCACATGACAGGGTGCTTTCTTCCTCTCTCCATGCCATGTGAGGACACAACAAGAAAGCAGCTGTTTGTAAGTCAGGAAGTGAGCCCTCACCAGAATCCAACCATGCTGGCACCCTCATCTCAGACTTCCAGCCTCCAGAACTGTGAGAAATAAATGCTTGTTATTTAAACCACCCAGGCTATGGCATTTTGTTACAGCAGCTAGGGCAGACTAAGACACATATTTAAAAATTCCAGCCATCTGGTGCCCAAATTTGACATTACAATAAATAGGGAACTAGCAGCATCATGTTCTGAGAATCCAAAGAACTCAGTCACAGTGATTAACCAAAAATAATCAGGCAGATTTATCCAATGAAGTTAAGACATTTATAACTACTTACAAGCACAGTAGTTTACACCAAAGTCTGAAAACCTAGAAATCTACCAAAAGAATTCCTTCTGAGTACAACTATTTGTGTGCTTATCAGTATATTATCAGAGAGAACCTTGATCTTTAGAGTTTACCCATTGTTCTAGATCACCTTTAATGAAAATTTAATAAAAATAATGAAACTAAAAAAGATATTCTCCCAGTACCTGTTCCTCCCTCTCCTTTTCTTTGGTCTTACTTCTGTAGACTCTAGCAGAGGTGGCATCCTGGGATGGAATGGCAGAGATCTGATACAGTGGCATGCTCATCCCAGCCTCCTATCTGGTCGTCTTCTTCACAGAGGAGAGTCTCCACTGGTAGAGTCATTTTGGGCCATGGATTTCAAGCTGAGAGAAAATGAAGAGAGAAGAAACATAATTCAGCTAAAACACTTAAATTTCCAAGAGTGAGCTTAACATTTTATATTCATATTTCTATTTTAATAAGTTATGATGAAATGAATGTTTGGTCTGCAAAAACAATAGAAGATAAATGTCCAGGAGAAAAATTCTAAGATTACTCATAATAAGATGGGAGTACCTGAAAGAGGCAGGTGGATCGTGTACGTGCGTAATCTGAGATTAACTTTCCATTGGCTACTTAGGTTTAAAACGAAGCAGTGCCACCATTTATTTTAAGAATATTTTTCAAGTTAAACTTTTTTTTAGCATGATCAAGCATTCATCCTGAAATAAGCAGTGACCTTTCCTTAAAACCACTGCCTGTGAGTCCACATAATGGTGAAATCAGAGGTTAGGAAGTCCAAATTAAATTCAAGATATCTATGATCCATACTTAACCTTCCAAAAGTATAGACTCTACACTAGCTGTTGGCAAACTTTTCCTGTCAAGGGTAAGATACATATTTTAGGCACTGTAGTCCAAGTCTGTTCCAGCTAATTAACTCTGTCACTGTGTAGCATGGAAGGAAGCACCCACAGAGAGCGTGTAAATGAATGAGAGTAGTTATGTTCCAATAAAACTTTATTTACAAAAATAGGCAGCAGGCTAGATTTAGCCTATAAGACTGCAGTTTCCCAAACACTGCTATAAAGGGTTTCCTAGGGAATATGAAGGGTCACCATGACAAGCCTACGAACCATGGGAAAGGCTGCCCTTAGGTAAAATAACAGTGTCTGCATAAGCTGTCTTCAGTGATTCAACGTACCCCTGCCCTTTTTCTGGTCTTCTCTTACACATCCTCCAAAATGTCTAATAGCTGAATTGCGTGTTGTTCTCTTTCCCCACTGAGATCTGTCCAACTCTGTATACAAAATCAATTAAACATAAATTGTCCAGAAGGTTTAATGTAGTAATGTTTCATGTTGTTCAAATTTTAACAGAGAATGGAAGCCTTCAACCAAAAGAATGAATCTCAAATTTGGAGGTTTTCATTTGGTAACCATGTGCTAGGGTGGTGGGTGGGGACAGGGGAGGCAGTAAGTAGGAAAAGGAAGGGTAAACAACAGGGCCTGACAACCCCAAGGTCACATTTGATAAGCGGTCACTCTACTTCTCCCAAAACTCTACACTGGACCAAAGGTAGGTGTCTGTAAGGTACACTACACCAAGGTGCACTCTTGGCAGTGCACCTAAGCAAGCAGAGGAGCACCAGGACTCACAAAATGGCCTCCTTCACACAATTCTCAAATCAATGAACAACAAAAGGAACAAAAACTGGGAAGGAGCAACACATACAAGAAAATCAGCTAAAAGAATAATCTGTTTATAAAGTATAGTTTTATAGTAAGTGAGTAATCATTAATAATAATAACAACAACAAAAAAACAGGAAAATAGAGTGGGTGATGTGAGTGTCTAAACATCACATACCACCTACTCTATTTCAAGCCTTTGATGAGGCTGGCACAAGATAGAGCACTACTGTGCCCAAAAAACAGTCTGAATGTTTGTATTCAAGCACATTACACAAGACAAGAGGCACTTACTGAGGAGCTTCCTTATACTCCCTGGGAGATCATAGCAGTCAGTGGTAAGCAGTTTTTTCATCACTAATACACTAAAGTCCTCTGTTACAGATGGCAAAATCCATGGGGCCTCGTGGAACACTTAGCCAAACTGACCATAGCCACCTATCACACCAATAGCTGCCTCTGGTGCTTCTGATATAATCATCATTATTACATCATTGGTACATGCCCATAACAAGCCTGAAAAGGGCTATGTATGGTATAGAAACACAGGTACAAGAGGATCTCAAAAATTGCCATTGAAGTTAGTCTTCTGATATGCATCACCATTGCAAGGCAACAGACCTCTAAGTCTGCCTAAAGCAATCTCCCTCCTACGTCAAGATAAAAGTGAGTGGGGCTGGGCACAGTGGCTCACGCCTGTAATCCCAGCACTTTGGGAGGCCCAAGTGGGTGGATCATGAGGTAAGGAGATTGAGACCATCCTGGCCAACATGGTCAAACACCATTCTATTAAAAATAAAAAATTAGCTGGGCACAGTGGCACACACCTGTAGTCCCAGCTACTCAGGAGGCTGAGGCAGAAGAATCGCTTGAACTCAGGAGACAGAGATTACAGTGAGCCAAGATTGCACCCACTGCACTCCGGCCTGGAAACACAGTGAGACTCCATCTCAAACAAAACAAAACAAAACAAAACAAAACAAAACAAAACAAAACAAACAAAAAAATGAGTTTACAAACAAACCATAAAACAGACCATGCCATTTTTTATGCATGAAAAGTATAAAGCATATATTACTCACATTATTTTCTTTGCATAATAATTTCCAGGTATCTTTTATAAAATTAATCTTTAAGTAAGAGTAACAGTTAAACCTCAGCACTTTGCTGAGGGCTTCAATTTGACTAATGCTAACTTGCAAAATATAGCACACCTAACATGAGCATACATATCTAGAAGAGCTGGACTGCCAAAGTTCGTTGTTTAAGAAACTGGAAATGGATGTCCAATGTTCAGGAATCAGAAGATTTAATATTGTTAAAATGGCAATTCTCCCCAAATTGATGTAGAGAGTCAAATCTCTATCAAAAATGGAGCTGACTTCTTTACAGAAATCTGACAAGCTGATCTGAAAATTTATACGAAATTCAAGGTACTCAGATTTGCCAAAACAACCTTGAAAAAGAAGAACAAAGTTGGAGAACTCACATTTCCAGATTGCAAAACTTACTACAAAGAATCAGTATTCAAGACCATGTGGTACTAGAATAAGAAAAGAAAGATCAGTGGAACAGAATTTAGAGTCCAGAAACAAACACACATATCTATAATCAACTGATTTTCAAGAAGACTCTAAGACCACTCCTTGGGGAAAGAGTACTCTTCAACAATGGTGCTGAAACAAACGGATAGCCATATGCAAAAGAAATCTGGATCTCTTCCTCACATTAACAAAAAATAGACAAACTATACACCATCAAAATAAAAACTTTTATGCTTCAAAAGACGCCATCAAGAAAAGGAAAAGACAGCCACTCATGGTGATTCACACCTAAAATCCCAGAACTCTGGGAGATCAAGGCAAGGGAATCCCTTGAAGCCAGGAACTCAAGAAAGGCCTGGGTAATATAGCAAGACTCAACTTCTATTTACAAATTAAAAAAAAAAAAAAAGGTGTTAAGACAACTGACAGAATAGAAGAAAAATTTTGCAAATCCTGTATGTAATAAGTGATGTGTATCTAGAATACATAAGGACTCTCTTACAACTCAGTAATATAAGGACAAGGCCATGTGCAAGTAGCTCACACCTATAATCTCGGCATTTTGGGAAGCTGAGGTGGGAGAACAACTGCTTCACGCCAGGAGTTCAACACCAGTGTGTGCAACATAGCAACGCACCAACTCTACCAAAATGATAATAATAATAAAGACAAATAACGTAATGAAAAATGGGTTACTCAGTATCATTAGCCATCATGAAAACACAAATCAAAACTATCAGATATAACTTTAATTATTTTCATAATTAAAGACCAATAGTTAAGTGTTGGCAAGGGTATTTGTGAAACTGAAACCCTCATATACTGCTGGTGGGAATCTATGCAGCGGTTTTGCAAAATAGTCTGGCTCTTTCTCAGAATGTTAATATATGTTATTATATGACTCAATAACTTCACTCCTAGGGTATACACATCCAAGAGAAGTGCAAACATTTCCTCACATGAAAATTTGTCCATGAATGTTTGTATCACATTATTCACAAAAGCCAAAAAGTGCAAACAACCCAAATGTCCATCAAATGATAAATGGATAAATCAAATAAGCTATATCCATTCAATGGAATCAAATTCAGCAATAAAAATAAAGTAATGACATATGCCACAATATGGATGAACCTTTTAAAAATTATGTTAAGTAGGCTGAGTGTGATGGCTCGTGCCTATAATCCCAACACTTTGGGAGGCCAAGGCGGGCAAATTGCTTGAGCCCAGGGGTTCCAGACAAGCCTGGGAAACATGGCAAAACCATATCTCTACAAAAAATTCAAAAATTAGCTGGGTATGGTGGCGCACGCCTGTGGTCCCAGCTACTCAGGGGGCTGAGGTGGGAGGATCGCTTGAGCCCAGGAGGTTGACGCTCCAGTGAGCCAGTATGGCGCCACTGCACTCTAGCCTGGGTGGTAAGAGTGAGACCTTGTCTCAAAAAAAAAAAAATTATACTAAGTAAAAGAAGCCAGTCACAAAGAACCATATATTATATGAGGACAAGTTGTATGGAATGCCCAGAGGAGATAAATCTGTAGAGACAGAAAGTAGAGCAGTGCATGCCAAGAGCCGGGGTAGGAATGGGTAAATGGGAGGAAGTAGTGGCTTAAATGTTTTAGTTTTAGGATAATGAAAACAGTCTAAAATTGACCATGGTGCTGGTTGTAGAACTTCTGAGTATACTAAAAGCCACAGAAATAGTAAAAGGACTAAGATAGATAGAGAAAATTTTAATTTTTCCTTTGTATTATCCCTAATCTAACTACTCTAGATGACATGATGTCATCTAGAGTAGTTAGATTAGGGATAATACAAAGGAAATGGGTGACAAGAGCAAAACTCTGTCTCAAAAACAAAACAAAAAGACTGTGTCCATGTGTACAAACATAGGGGCTCTTAACATCAGCCAGTGTTGCCCTATCTCACCCTTCCAGTTTTGAGAAGGCAACAGAAAGAGTACAAAGTCAGTAATCAGAAACCTAAGTTCAAAGCCTGGCTCTAATTGCAGATATTGGGGCAAACTGATGAATTTCTAAGCTGTTTTGTTTCCTTGTCTGTAAAAGAGAAGAGTAATCATGTCTACTCAGTTCAAAGGGTTATTGTAAAGATTAAAAAAAAAAAACTGTCCAAGCTGGCATGGTGGCTT